CCCGCCCCCCCGCGCCAGGCCCAGCGCTGGCTCGCACTCACCTGCACGGTGGAGATCTGCACGGGAGGGGCACTTGTGGGCGTGGCCGGGCGGGGCGCCATGGCGGTCTGCGGCTGAGCCTGGGCGTGGGCCTGGGCCTGCATCTGGGCCAGGGCCTGCTGAGGAATCATTAACAGCTGCCCGTTCTCGCTCCGCACGAGGACCATACCTGGGGGAGGAGAGCCGGCTTCGGGAAACACGCCCCAGGGCCGGGCTCCGTGGGGAGCCCGGCAGCTCAGAGAGGGCAGAAGCTGTCAGACCCAGGGGCAGGGCCCTAAGCACACCTGCGCGAAAGAGGGCCCGCAGCACGGCAGAAACGCAAAGGGAGTTTCTTCCTGGATTCAAACAGCAACAGTGGGCCAGGCAGCCGAGCTGCTCACACCGCCGTCTGCCCCTGCGCTGGCCTGCAGGTCAGGAGGCCCGGAAGCCGAGGGCCTCGTGTGCTCCCAACACGGGCTGCCCGGTGTGGCCAAGTTCACAAGGCAGCAGGCGTCTGGCGGGAGGTCGTGGCTGGAGCCTCAGACCCGAGCCCTGCCCTGGAGCAGGTGTCCCCGCCCCCGTCCCCGTCCCCGTCCCCTTCCCCGCAGGCTGGGCTGGGGAGGCAGCGCCCCACAGCCCACATGCCCAGGGCTCCCTGCCTGCAGTCCTGTGAGGCGCCGACACTCCCTCCAGAACAGGACCACTCTTGGGTGCAGTGGGGGGGCAGCGCTGTGCCCACGACGACCTGAGGCGCCCACCACAGAGACACAAAGACACGGAGGACCGCTCGCACTTCACGGTGCTTCAGCTACATCACTGGAAGCCCAACCCTAGCAGGCAGGTTTGGCGTTAATTCCAGCTTCAAAAACCGGCAACCAATTATATCCTAGATTCCACTAGAAACAGCAACACAACTTTCACATTTGATTTCCCATGACGGATTAGTGATGGAGCTGCAAGGGGAGACCTGAAAACGCCATAAACACCGTACTCTTCCCAAAGCAAGGCCTCAGCAGAGGGCCCTGCACGAGGCACCCCACTGAAGAGCGACGCAGCCGGGCAAGGGGGTGTCGACCAAGGAGCCTGCTTCCTAGGCAGCCCCTGCGTCCTCCCATGAGGCAGGTGAAAATCAGGTCCGAGAACCTCCCGCCAGCTTCACACAAGTGACATCAGGC